TTCCTTCTCATCTTCCTTCCTTATTTCCTTATCTTTCTTCATATCTTTCTTCCTTATTTTCCTTCCTTCCTTCTCATCACCCTTACTTCTTTCCTTATCTTCCTTCGTTCCTTCTCATCTTCCTCCCTCCCTTCCTTCTTCATTTCCTCATCTTCCTTCCTTATTTCCTTATCTTCCTTCCTTCTTTCCTTCGCATCTTCCTTCTTTCCTTATCTTCCTTCCTTCTCATCTTCCTTCCTTCCTTCCTTCCTTCCTTCCTTCCTTCCTTCCTTCTCTCCCTCCCTTCTTTCCAGAATCACAGAATCCTAGGGCTGAAAGGGATCTTGGAGGCCTTCTAGTCCATCCCGCTGCTCAGGCCATACCATTTCAGACAAATAGTTGTGCAAAATTTTCTTAAAAACGTTTAAAAAAACCTTAGAAACCTCCCGAGGGGAAGGGAGTCCGGTCGTGTCCCTCAGCTGCCCATCCACTCTGTGTCCCAGCCACCACCCAAACCAGCAATCCCGAATGGCCGCCGCTTGACCTCCTCGGCAGGCTAAATTTAGTGCTGGACAAAGGGGAGGCATTGTCTGGTGGCCTGGCACCCCTCGCCCTGCTCAGGGAAGGCGGGGTTCACCCAAATCACCCCCAAGTACAGAGTACAAAGGAACCAGTGTTTTAGCCGAACAATGACTGGTCAGCCGGCCTGGGAGCTGACCACTGGGCGCTGGCTGGAGATATCAGTCTGCAAAGACCGAGCATGTCTTCCTTGCTCAGCATCGGGGTGCCAAGGGGATTTGGACCCCTTTTTCTAGAGGATTATGGGAGCTGGAGTCCTGTTCTGACCGAGGCTTCCCCAGCAGCACGAATCCGAGTCCTCGTCCCAATAAACCCCTTTTATTTAATTTACAGTGAATTCCTCTCCAGCCAAGTCTTTCCTCTCCCACCGTCTTTCGAGATAGTTCCCAATTACCGACCTTTCTCAGGCTTGGAGAGCGGCCAGATGCCACTCTCCTTCAGATGCCCCAATACTTTTGCAAGAATGCAGGAATGAACTAAGTGTCTCCTGCAAACTCCCCTCCCCTTTTGCTCCTCTTTTATTCCCTCTGGGAGGGGCCATTCACCGTCCACCTGTGGCCTTACTCCCAAGTCGAACTAAGTGTCTCCTGCAAACTCCTCTCCCCTTTCGCTCCTCTTTTATGTCCTTTGGGAGGGGCCATTCACCGTCTACCTGTGGCCTTACTCCCAAGTCGGCCCCTGCTCTTTAGCTGTTCCCTTCNGATGGCTGGGGGATTCTGGGAGTGGACGTCCATTTATCTTAAAGCAGGCTGGATGGGGGATTTTGGGAGTGGAAGCCCACCCCTCTTAAAGCATGATGGCTGGGGGATTCTGGGAGTGGAAGTCCCCCCATCTTAAAGCACGTTTCCTGGGGGATTCTGGGAATTGAAAACCAGATATGTTAAAGTTGCCAAGATTGGAAAACCTTGATCCACATGTCCAGAGGTTGTCCAGGAAACCCCTCACCCTGCAATTTAATGCATGGCCACTGCTTTTCAGAAATTCCTAGAGGTTCTTCCTCCCAAACCCGGGATCTCCTGCAAATTCTCTCTCTCTCTCACTTCAAACCGTAAAATCCATGCCCTATCCATCCTTTGCATGCGGACAGACAGACGGACACTATATCAACCATTGCTTGGACGCTGCTTCCCATCCTCTCCGGCTGCCCTGCAAACTAAAAACCTCTTTTTGCCCCTTGTTTAAGAGTCTCTGAAAGGCTGTAGGAGGGCAGCTGGACTATGCAATCAAGGATGCTTCTGAAGAATGTGGAAAAACAGACCCATCGGTGTAGAAGGAGGCAGAAAAACAGTTGAGGAGATGGGGCTGAATTTGAACCCAACCAGCCAGAAAAACAGCAGGTTGATTAAACCTCACCCCGGGCACTAAACACAGAGGGGAAACTGGAAAGGGACTGTCAGAAGAGAAGTTAGAAGATAGAATGATAGAGTTGGAAGGGGCCTTGGAGGTCTTCTAGTCCAACCCCCTGCTCTAGCGGGAGACTTTATACCATCCTGGATAAATGGCTGTCCAGTCTCTTCTTGAAAGCCTCCAGTAATGGGGCAAGCATCTGTAAAAAGCTTAGGCAGAGCTGTAAAGCACCATGTGGCGGTAAGGCAGTCTAAGGCCAGGAAGGAAGGAAGGAAGGAAGGAAGGAAGGGAGGGAGGAAGGAAGGAAGGAAGGAAGACAAGAAGGAAGCTAGGAGGGAGGGAGGGAAGAAAGTAAGGATGAAAAGGAAGGATGGAACACAAGGAAGGAAGGAAGGAAGGAAGGAAGGAAGGAAGGAAGGAAGGAAGGAAGGAAGGAAGGAAGGAAGGAAGGATTTCTCCTTAATTCCAGGTCGCTTCTCTCCTTGATTAGTTTCCACCCATTGCTTCTTGTTCTGCCCTCAGGTGCTTTGGAGAATAGCTTGACTTCTTTGGGGCAACCCCTGAGATATTGGAAGACTGCTATCATGTCTCCCCTAGTGCTTTTCATTAATACAATTACAGTACAATACAATAGCAGAGTTGGAAGGGGCCTTGGAGGTCTTCTAGTCCAACCCCCTGGGGCCTAGGCAGGAAACCCTATACCGTTCCAGACAAATGGCTATCCAGCATCTTCTTAAAGACTTCCAGTGTTGGGGCATTCACAACTTCTGGAGGCAANGGGAAAGGAGATGGGAACGAGATGAAGAGAGGGGGAAGGAAGGAAGGAAGGAAGGAAGGAAGGAAGGAAGGAAGGAAGATTGCAGCAAGGATACCTCTTGCCTTGACCGACATCCTGCTGAGTTCATCTCCCTTCAAGAGCTCTATACCTCTCACAATCTCAGGGCTGGAAGGGACCTCAGAGGTCTTCTAGTCCAGCCCCCCTGTCCAAGCCAAGGCAATACTTTTTGCATCTAATTTGGCAGCCAGCTGCCCAGTTTACCCAAGGACGTCTCTGCTCCATCACCCATCATCCCCAGCTCATACAGCAGAGCCCTGGATTAGGCAGAATAGATTCATGGGATCTCTTTTTCCCAGGGCAATTGCAAACCTCACCAAAGGAATCAGCCATATTTTTTTCCCCGGGAAGGTTGATAAAAACGGTTGTCAAAGCAAACTTAAAATAAAATAAAATTCGAATCTTGCACGAGGTGAGAAAACTTTGCTCCCTGTCTCGCGTGGAGATCAACATGTTGTGAGTTTGGGAGAGTTTGGTTCGATGTTTAACGTGTTCACGCTTTCTTATTTGGGGGGCATTGCGAGGACCCACATTTTTTTGTGAACAGAAAAATTTCTCACACCAACCACGCCGAGCTCATTTTTGCCCGTCTTCTGAAAATAATTCCTCAAAACACAACAGCCACACAAAAAAAACAACACAAGACTTCTCAAACGCACACATTTTTTAAACAAAACAAGTCTGCATCTGTCCGGAAATTCATCACTTCTGTACTACAGCTGCGGTTAAAGTGTCTGATATTTTTTTCTTGTGCAAAAACACAAGAGGCCTTTTTTTTTTGAGGAAAAAAAACCCACAACTTTTTTTAATGCATCTTTCAGAACAGGGCAAATCACAAACCACAACCTGAAAGCGAAACCTGCTCCTTGCTTTGAAATAAAAACTCGTTGGCTATATCTATATATATAAAAGCCAAGTACCACTCAGGCAGCATCACGAAAGCTCCAGAACCATAAAGCCTAAAAACTTCAAATTTGGCAGGTCTGTTCCTCCCAGCTTCTAGGTGCTCGTTAAGAAAGGATTTTTCAAAATGATCATTAGTATTTCTTATATAGTAATTAACATGCTAAGGAGTTCTACTCCCCCTCCCCACCTGAAAAGAACTCTGTTCCAACTGCCAGTTGCTTTATATTAACACACTCTGATGCTAAGGAGTTCTACTCCCCCTCCCCACCTGAAAAGAACTCTGTTCCAACTGCCACTTGCTTTATATTAACACACTCTGATGCTAAGGAGTTAGACATTCTACACCCCCCCTCCCCACCTGAAAAGAACTCTGTTCCAACTGCCACTTGCTTTATATTAACACACTCTGATGCTAAGGAGTTAGACATTCTACACCCCCCTCCCCACCTTAAAAGAACTCTGTTCCAACTGCCACTTGCTTTATATTAACACACTCTGATGCTAAGGAGTTAGACATTCTACACCCCCCTCCCCACCTTAAAAGAACTCTGTTCCAACTGCCACTTGCTTTATATTAACACACTCTGATGCTAAGGAGTTAGACATTCTACACCCCCCTCCCCACCTTAAAAGAACTCTGTTCCAACTGCCAC